TGTGACTCTTTCACAGGGTGATGAAAGCTTAAATACAGAAAAATCTGACTAGGTGGCTAAACCTGTACCCTTGAACAGTCCCTTATGTGTATTTTCTAGTTGACTCTTACTTGGAATAAAAATGTTACCAGTATTTCAAAATGCTGAGTACTGTTGCAGGAAGGGGCTACAGAGAAGTGATGTAATAACTCAGAGTCATGGTGAAAATTACATGTGAAAAAAAACTGGATAGATGGGAATGTCTGAAGGGGACACAAATAAGATGGGACATGGCACTCACCTGTAATACCAGAGAGAGAGGTGAGTTTAGGCCAGAGAAAGAAATCGGTTTAGAACTTGATCACTGGGATGTTTTCTTTCCTGGTAGTAGGCAGTGTTACCTCATCATTACTTAATGACATGGTTGCCAAGAGCCTACTAAACTGATGAATAAATGAAGCTTAAATAATACACAAATGAAAGGAACTGCAATTGTGCAGGGAGCACATAGGGCATCTGCAATTGCAGTAAATAAAGTTCCTTGCCTAGGGAACGTAAGCCTGGCTCTGTTTCCTGGAGCTCCAGAGCAGTTTCCCCACGGGCAGAATAACCCGTAACTATTTACACGGCATTTTGTGGTGCCTGTCTTTGAAGCACCTGGCATCAAATACCATGATACCAGCTAGTTGATGGGCAGAGGATAACTGCTGAGGAACGTACCACATGGGAAATTCTGCCTGGGGTAGAAGAGACCCTGGTCACTTCATCTGTTACATGGCATGGTCGGTCTCCTGCTGGTACCCACACAGGGGGTTTTTTTTTTAAGGAATATGTGAATGTCATCAGGTTGTAAAGTAAAAGTTTGAGAGAGAGTTATTGCCATGGGTGAATGATCTTCTGGATGTTAGAGTACACGAATAAGGATATGGGAAGACAGATCTTGGGCTGTGGGGAGAGTGGAAAGTTTTGGAAGGATTGGCTGAACAGTGGTCATTATTCAGCATTATTAACTCATTATTTGCTTGAGTTTAGGGAGATTTAATGAGTAACCATTGTAACTATGTTCTTAAGTGCTTAAGTGAGAGGAGTCATGGTAGGGTAGGAAAAATAATATAGTAAAAATAATTAAACTAATTTGGATTGTGGCATCTGGACTAGAACAGGCAAGGTTTTGGAGGGTTCTTAGAAATAGATGTTTGGTTAATAGAAGATCAAAAAAATGACTAGTTCCATTTGGGGCATTGAGTCATACCTTTAAAACTTCATAATTAACTTCCCCAAACAATAGAAAATCTCATTTCTACAGGGAACTGTCTAGAAGAACTTTTTCATGTTCCAGGGTCCCTCTTGATCCGTGTAAATGCCTGTCATGGCATACTGTTCACTGTCCATGTATTGCGAGATAGAGCTGCGGAATAGCATCAGAATAAATTTCTCTGTGTTTCGGGATCTTTTTGTCAGGTTCTGGACAAAACAATAGAACTCTCAAAGGCAGGTGCAAAAGTAGAGGGTCAGCTCCCATGAAAATGTTCACAGCTTCAGGCTTTCATTCTTAAATGGGTAGCTTCTATAAGTCTAAAACCTTACAGATTCAGAAGATTGAACTGACAGGGTTTTATCTTTTTCCAGTTTTCTTTTTCTCCTTGTGTTAATTGCCACAGGTCCTTAGTCTCTTTCTGCAGCTCTGTTTGCTACCATTTTCCAAAAACTGTCCTGTTTGTCTTCTCCTTCATTCCACTACCCTGGGCAAGACTCACACCACCTGCTTTTGCTCCTTAAAGCTGAATGAGAATTTGAGTGTCTGGGTGCATGACAGGAGCTCTGCAGTCCATGCACTTGCGGCTGCTGAGCCATCGAAGGAGCCAAAAAATGTGCCCACACTTTGAACCTGAGAGTTTCTTAGACACTTAAGCTCAAGTGCTCGCAGAGAGGCAGAAGTGTCTGAGTCAAAATGGTTGAGTATTTGACTTCACTGCAATCCAGTCTTGAAATGGCAATATATATATAAGTACTGGGGCTAGTTTCTTCCAATTAACGAACTAGTTTTGTCCACCTCCTCACTCACTGCTTTCTGGGTTGCCCTGCTGAGGTCCTGCTTCTCCCTGTTGACCGTACTGAGAATTTCAGCTGCGAGAGCCCAAGCTCATCAGCCAAAGCTAGTGTGTGGTATCTGACACCAGCTTCCCATTCTCTAGCAATTCTGCTCCTGCTGGTCCTTTCTCTGTCTTTTGAATTCCTGCATCTTCTGGTTTTTACTGTAGTTCTTATGGACTCAGTGGTCACTCTTCATGTCTGGGATGTTACCAAACAAAAGGCTAACAGTTAGTATTGCCTAGGAAGAAAAACATTTTTTTTCTAGTACCTGTCCATCCACAGATAATGTGGGTGTTTAACAGAAAAGAAATACTATTATTCTTCCCCTAAAAATCAGGTTTGCTTAAAATGTTGTTGAGTGATCTTAATGAAAAATCATATCTTCCACGGTTTTCTTTTTTAAGGTGCATGTGAGACGATGTCTTCAGAGTAATGCTACTTTGCCTGTTTTTTTCCTTCTTATGCTATACACATATATTTAATTGAAAATAATGAAAGGTCTTCTTAGGTTGAGCTTGTAAGAGCGATTTTCCTTCAGTGGTGTAAATAGCTTGAGAGGAATGTGGTTAGTCCTGTCTCTTTCACATAGCTCTATAGGGGCTGGGTAAGCAGGACTCATTGAGGAGGGAGGCTGGAAGCAACACCTGGGAACTCCAGCCCAGTGACCCGCACTCACGTCCTTCCATCAGCTGACTTTCGTTTCTTACCCGAAGTGATACTGTTTTAATGGACAAACAAACTATTTCTGGTATTTCTCTTTCACCAGCCATGCCTCCCTGCATTGGGTTCTCCATTTGTCTTCTGCCAAGGGAAAGAAGAGCTGGGATTTGTGTACCAAAGAGGCCATTGCAGGGGAAGGATCTCGGGGCAGGGAGAGACTTAGAATTTCAGATGCTTTTAAATAAGGACCCAAAGCTCAGGAAATACCTCCTCCTTTTGCTCAGGAAGTCTCTGTGGTCAAAGAAACCAACCAGGGCAGTACCCAGAGTCTAAACAAAAAGAGAGTTTTAAAGTAGGTTGAGGATGGACAGGGCAAGCACTCCACTTGGAAACTCTTGATGCGGTGCGATGAGACCATTAGGCTAGACCTGCCAAGTCAAATGGGGAGAGTGCTATATTTGTGCGGTGCTCTGCACCAGCTGTTTGTGGCAAGGGTATGTATGTAAGACAATTCGGTGGTGAATCTGAACGTGTTTTGTAGCACTTTGTCATTGGCAAGAGCGTGCAGCCTGCCATCTGCCGTGTAGCTTGTGCCCATCCAGCTTGCAGCAGCTGCCGGATTCCAGGCACCCAATGCTGTGGCTGCCCAGGGGCAGTGAACGCTATTTGGTGCTTTGTGCTTGGCTGAGGACTGTAAAATTATCTAGGCTGAGTTGCTGCTGGTGCAGCTATGGGCCGTGGTCACCTCAGAGCCTGGATTGCTGGGTTCTCCTTGCAGCAACTGTTTCCCACCCCCGTCTGACATCAAAACTGCAGCAGAGCCCAGCTGGTGCACAGAAGGTACCAACCCAAGGAGCTCAAATGTTGCTGACAACCCTGCTGACACGCCTGTACAGCATCCAGTTTCCTTACAGAGGCACCCATGCCCATTTCAGCTGGACTTTTCAGGGCTGTTTGAACTTCGTGATGATATTCTTACTTGGGAATTTTCTTTTGAAACCAAGGGCTCTCAGCATAGCCTTTATTGACCTTTGAAGAGACACATGGAGGGAGGTGCTGCCTACGACAAAGCAAGTGTTGCGTCACTGGTTCATGTAATTGAAATAGTTTCTTGCAAGCTGCTTGTGATTTATAAGAGATAATAAATAACTGAGGAATGATTGTGCCTGACGAAGGAAACAGTTGTTGCAGAGACGCTCTTTTGTTGTCCTGGTTGTGATTAGCTGGTTTCAGAGGGGGAGGTAAAAAATCATTTTTGACACACCAAAGGAAGATACATACAGACCTCAGTTTCCCTTCCTCGGTTTTGGTGCATGCTCGACTGTGGGATCAAGGTAACTGCCAAAAGCATTTAACATGTAGACATTGAGGGCTGGTGATAGAAATCACAAGTATAGCCTACAAACATAGCAAAAATGGGGTTTTAGAACAGTTTGCTTTATGAAAGCACAAAATCTGGATTTGCTGTATTAATCTGACATGATACAGCACAGAACATGGGGCATGCATCATGCTCACCTTTAAAGAAAAAGCAGAGGGTGGGATTTTCCAAAAGTGTAGTTAGCCAAAGTCTGATCTCATTGAAGTAAATGGGTATTTATCAACAGTGTTGTGCAAGTCCCATGGCTGAGTACATTTAGAAATTGTACACCGTTCTTGGTAACATCTTACACACGAAATTAATTTTACTGAAAATAAGTGCAATAAATAAAGAGGACGTTTTGCAGATTGAATTTTTATGTTTAATTGGGAAATTGTAGCTCGTTTTTACCAGCTTGCTAAGAAATGTCCTGCAGCATTGTTTACATAAATAATTAGAAACCTTCATAAATTTCATAAAAATAATTGGAAGTCTGTGGCAGCCTGTGATAAATTCCTGAAGTATGGGTAATCTGGACATTTTGGGAGAAAGTGTAGCCTGGTGAGATGAGGGTAGCAAACTTGTATGGTAATCATGAGAATAATTACACAGCCCTTTGTCCTGATGTTAATCCCCGCATCAGCCCTGCAAGGTAGGATCTATATTGTTGCCTTAATCCTGTTGATTTTCTTAGTCATGTGAATGCCACAGGAATGATAAATCTCAAGGCCCTTTCCTTATATTCAGCAGATTCGGTACCTTGTAATTGTGCAATTTGGCCTAAAGCAACCCCTAGGCAGTGGGTGTTCATGGGAAGCGTGCAGAGGGGGTTGCGGGGATTAAAAGCAACAAGGGGAAAGTCACCACCTGTTTTCACCCCCTCCCCTCTTTCTTTTGTCTCTGCCAGGAGAAAAACCCTACAAATGTACCTGGGAAGGCTGCACCTGGAAGTTTGCTCGCTCCGACGAACTGACGAGGCATTACCGCAAGCACACGGGAGTGAAGCCATTCAAGTGTGCAGACTGTGACCGCAGCTTTTCCCGCTCAGATCACTTGGCGCTCCACCGCCGCAGGCACATGCTGGTTTGAGAAACGCTACCTGTTCCAGCCGAGTTTAAGAGCTGGGTCTCTTAACTACCCGGAGTGAATTCAGCAGGGCTGAATCCCCCTCTACAGTGTTAACAGGCAGGGCTTTCCCTGATGTCCGTAACAAAAAATAATAACAGAAATTTAAAAAAAAAAAAAGCAGGAAAAGAAGTGCCACTCTTCTCCTCGCCATCTGAAGTTAACCCCGTCTGCCCCTCAGCATGGCTACCCCCTGAAAGTGTCATCACAATCACCTGGGAAATAGCAGCCAAAATGCTACAGGAATGGGCATTATTTTACATACTGCGTCCTTTGACAAAAAATGTTTATAGCTTGTATGTTTTCTCAGCTGTCGGACATTTTGTTCCTGAAAAATCATTGCTGATTGGAGGATTAGCTACGACAAACCAATGATGATGATGATGAGAGCAAGACCGCTAGACCTTTATTATCCCATCTTTTTCCCCTTGTTTTGAATACCATCTGGCCGGTGTCAGCATTACGCCCGAGCTGTGCTACAGACAAGCTGCGTGTGAGTAGGCAAGAAGATTCTGCTGGAGAGGTCCCGCTGTCGGAGTTGGAGGGTTGCTTGAGCAGACTTTTGCAATAACGGTGGTGGCATTTTAATATTGTACCACAATTTGTCATTATGCCCTAGAGGACACCAGCCATTTAACCTTTTTCTTTTATCTTTTTTTTCCCTTTCTTTTCTTTTGTTGTTGTTGTTGAAGTCTGTAAAATAAACAAGGGGCAGCAGCATCTCTGCTGACAGTACAATATTAAGTATCTGTATTTTACCATGGACTTATTTAGAACCGTTTTCTGATTTGTATAGAAAGAGCCTATCTAAAAACTACTACCCCATTTTCAAAGTGCAGTTTTCTTTCATGCAGGTATCCTCTTCCCCACGACCAGTGTTTGAACACAAGGAAATAGTCAGATCTTATCCTCACTGGTACCAAGGTTAGTGGTGTAGCCATTCATGAAATGGAATTGAGTGTACCAACAAACGAAACAGAGAAGAAACGGCTGCATCTCTTGCAGAGAAAAAGCAATAATGAGTAAAATGGCTCTCAAGACAATAATTTACTCCACACCAACGGGGGGGAGGGGGTATGCAGACATGGCGTGTGAGATCGTTTAAGTTATTCTTTCTGATGGTTTCACTGACCTGCTAGGTACCACAATTAAGTACTTTCATTTCCTTCAACATAATACTTGTGTCTGGAAAGCAAGATAGATAAAGGAAAGAGCTGATTGTTGAGGAGTCAGTGGATGAACCGTAAGTAGGAAGGCGAAATGGTTCTGCAGTGGTGTTCTGCAAGACATTAGGTTTCTCCCTGGGAGTTAGGGAGTAATGAGATTTTGCCAGCTGTCTAGTATGATATAAATGGCCCTTTATATGGGTACCAGTGGCTGCCCCTGCTGGGATTTTCAATCCAAGCCTTTTCAGATTAAATAAAAGGAAATTCTTGATCATTGCCATACAGCCCTATAATTGTGAACCAATTTGTATTAATTGAATTATGTAGGAAAGAGAGAAACTCTTAGCTATCAGTTGTTCATGCAAACAGAATAGTGTTTTTCTGTTTTCTTTCCTCACAAGGATCTGCCTATTCAGCTAAATTTGACGAAGAGGAGGATTGGCAAGATTTTTTAAGTGTTGAGATTTTTATAGCTTAGAGATAAAAGATGTATACATAAAGGTCTTTTGCAATGCATTTAATTATGAATATTTGGTTCCAGGAATTGCACGGATTAAACTTGTGATGCCGCTTGTTCATTTTTAAATGTTTGACCAGTGTGAATTAATTTCTGATTTCTGAAGTAACCATAGTACTGTCGGGGGGATTCTGACATCGAGGTAATCTCAAAGGAAAACCAGCACAGAGTACCCATACAAATACTGAAAGCAATTACAGTTAATTGAGGATTAATATGACAGGGATAATACTTTATAACAGCATTCACAGACCCCAGAGTTTGATTGTCTTTAAATAAGTTCTTAATATTCCCTGGTACCAGATTATCAGCTTCCTGAAAGAGCAACTTCAATACTGTTAAAGCTCAAGCTCTCCTCTGCCAAGTGGTCAGCAGAGAAAGCCAAGACAAATTATTCTCAGCCATTTTGTGAAAAATGCCTCTATCAATTCCCATTGACTGTGTTGGTAACCAACTTCCACAAAATTCAGCAAGGTTTTAGTATCCAGCTCCAAATCAGGAATGAAGGTGCTAAGTGTCCGTGCAAAGCATAAAAAGGCTGTGATGGATCAGGGCTTCTGGATAGGCTGTGAGGCTTTGCAGGGCAGCAGAACTGGGTCTTCACCAGCAGCATTACTGCTGGTGGTTTAAAAAACTGGTTGTCAGTGTTGTGTGTGAGATGGTTCATGGATTACGTCTGAGGTCTGTCTTTTATGTACTTCAGTATCATCCCCTTAAATGGATCTGTCATTCTCAGTGTTTAGGGAAAG